AGACTTCATCAATACATAACATAATTACAACCGACTAAAAAGCCAGAAATATGAGACCTACCAAAGATACCCTAAATGCTACAATACATGACAACTCACAAAGAACTAAATAATATCTCCATGGGAGAATCCCTCCTTATATATTACGTCAAAACGTGTTGAGCCTAAATGACAGACTCACACGTTTCGGATGATGACATGGCAAAAATCTATGCTTTAGAATGTTATTTGTGTATTCATTTTTTCTATAGAATTAGGCTTAGTATTAGACATAAATAACTTTTTTTCAAACTTAAGTGCACATTTAGTTTTGTTTTGTTTTGTTTTGTTTTTTTTTCTCTTAGTATAAATTTTCTTCTTAGTTTGGACAAGTAACAATCTTACCATTTTATAATTTTCTCCTATATTTCTCTCTTAAATTACGATTTACAAATCACTTTATGCACTTTCTATTCCTCTTATTTTTTTCATCAATACTTCCATCAAAATTTTAAATAAAAATTTATTTTAACAATAATTTTTATCATATATTTCCTAACTCAGCATCCGTGTAGTATACAGGTATTGTACTAGTTACTACATTAATGGAGAATACAGAAACTCTACAAATGGAGAATTCTAAAAACACCAACACAACCGACCACAAACTCCAGAAATGGAGAAAACAAAGCACCAACTCAACTGAACTTTTTTATAAGGCCCATTTAGGAAAAGCTTATGGGACTAAATAAATTGGGATTTCCCTCCATATTCTAACACATTCGTGTGTTAGCATTTAGCAATTGTTGAAATTGGCCCTTAAAAAATTGAGGAAATTACATCCTCCACTACATATTAACATTTTTATTACACATTTAAAACTCATATATATTTATTTACAAATTAACTAAAATTATGATTTTTATTTACAAATATACTAGACTATTGATTAACAGATAATTATTGTTAATTATGGTAAAAACAGATTTAATGGGATTCTCTCTCTCCCTATCTATTTTCTTCTTCTCTCTCCCTCTCTCTTATCATCTTCTTCTTTTACAGATCCGCCGATGTACTCCTCCCCAGTGATGATGCGCTTCGTAAATTCGCACAATTTCATCCGTGCTCAAGGGCAAAACGACTCCACCATTAAAAGCCCTAAGTTTTTCCTCTCTCTCCTTCACCATGGCTTGGAATCGATTGAGGATTAGGGGCGGCAGTGGCTTCATCCCAACACCATCGCCATGGATTTGCAGTGTTTATTTTCGTTTTCATTTTATCTTTTTTCCTGATTTGAATGTGATGCGAAGAGGGTCCCACGAGAGAGCTATTGACGGATTATGAAAACTTCAAGTCTGGTAATTTCGTTTTCGTTTTCCTCCATTGTTGTTGTTTGGTTCGATAATATTAAGATTCAAGTCTGGTAATTTTTTTTTTCTTGTTTACTAATTACCAGGCATTTGGAGAACCAGAAGAAAAGAAAAAGAAACTGATGTTTGTGAAATATTTCATTACTGGCAATTAGAGATTTCCTCTTCTGTATGCAGTATCGCATGAGCATCCCTATTTCCAATTCTTGTATTAATTTGATTATTCATCAAATTGGAAGAGATAATTCACCTGAAAATATTTCAGTTTTTCCTCCTCTAATTTGCTTTTCATTGATTCTATCTCTTTCTATTGAAATTCACACCGTTCAGTAAGGTATCTTTTGCGGGTTGTGGGGCAAGCTCAAGCTTCTCGACTGGAAAGCGCCGGTATATTGATCAAGATGGCCAGCTGGATAATTGTCCTCTTGAAGTCGCCTCGGGTTAACTTCCTAATTTTCCTTCTATTTTTCTTTTTCCTTTTTCAAGATAATGATGTTGATTTGAAATTGAAAATATGCAGAACGGAAGGCAGCCAAGTCTTTTTAACAACCAATTCGGAGGATAAACGTGAACGGACGCCGGCGGTGGTTCGCGGCGGTTGCAAACCTCGCGTGTTCGGTGACTCGCGGATGAAGATTCTCGGCGATGGCTGCGTGTGTCGTAGATGTTAATTAGTTCAAGTTTGAAATTGAAATTAGCGAAGAAGAAGACGAAGAGGCTGAGCGAGGTCAAAACACCCGAGGCCCTGAAGAAGAAGAAAATCATGACATCTTTTTTGAGAATTTTTTCGTTTGATTATTTTGGAGTATATGTTCAGTATATCTATAGTATATCTATAGTATATGTTTACGTAGTATACGTAGTATATGTGGTGTGTATAGGAAGTATATGTTCAGTATATTAAAAGATTTTTTTTTTAAAATTGTTCAGTATATGTAGTGTGTTTTTGTCAGAAGGCTGAGCTCGATTTGTTTTGTTTATCTTATGCTCTATTAGATTCTCCTAGTGGTACACAAGGGATGAGTTTTGGGGTCAGTGTACTCATCAAGGTTTTTGCTTCAAATGGGTTTTTTGAAAATTCAATGGATGCGTTTGCACAGGCTAGAAGAGTTGGCTATGAACTGGGAATACGCTCGTGCAATTTCTTGCTTAAATGCTTGGCAGAAGCCAATGAAAGGGAGATCCTTTTTTTTGTGGTATATTTGCGTATCTTTTCTTAAGAAAAAGATCGATTGCAACTCTATTGCTTGTGTTGTGTTGTGGTATATAAACAGTATATGATGAGTATATGTACAATATATGTTAAATATATAGTTTTTTTAATATGTTTTGACGGAAAATTTCTCAGAGGATAATCGCCGAACACTTGGTGTGCTTGATTTGTTGATAGATAGTTCTATTTTGTACATATTGCGGGTATACGTTGTGGGTACATAGAGTATATTTTCAGTATATGTTTCGATATAAAAATTTGTATGTTTTCGGGTATGAAAATTATGTATATGTTTTATATGTTACCATAAGATATGAAAATTTACATGTTGCGGGTATATACCAAAGTTGTACAACATACATATACATAAAATATACATAAAGTATACATATAATACACACTCGAGATTCTCGTAATTCAAGTCAGCGACACCACATATACATAAAATATACTTTAAATATACACTCGAATTTCAATAATTTCTCAAAATCGATTTCAGAACACACATATACATAAAATATACCTAAGATATACATAAAACATAAAGTCTAGTTGGTCATCTTTTCTTTCTTTTTCGCCGTATTTTTTTTTCTTGTAAAATCTTGACTTCCAAGGGCTTGTGGCCGGAAAAACCCGTGCCTTGGAACATGGCCTGTCGCACAAGAAGCAGACGCACCTATCTTGGCTGAGGGCTGCAAAATCACGTAAATATACCTCCATAAACGCAATAATTCGAGAAGCATGGGTATTCTATAGTTATTGTAGATTAATAATCGCCCATGAATCTATTGTTTCTACAGTATATGTTTCGTGAATTTTTCTTGCTGGAAACTCCGATCGATCCCCTTTCAGTTTTTTTTTTTTTTTCCCAAATACCTGGCCGGGGACGAAGCCCCATCACGGCCGTCCTCAATCGTATTGTAATCGTTCATAAACGGCGTCGCCCGGCCGTCGATCCGATTCGCCGTCGAATAGAACATCCGAGAAGCCTGATTTCCCAATTTGTCCTCAAAAAAGTTGAAGTGCAAATTCTCGTTCACGACGTCCCAGTGGATGAGCTACCCCCTGTAACGGCCCACCACATTTAACTTGGTCTAAGATGCATTTCAAATGAAAATTGAGATTTTCCTTTTTTTTTTTTTCTTTTTCTTTCTGGTAACTATGCGGAAATCACGCAAAAGATGTGGAATGAAGGCTAATTGATATTTAGGCAATCCCACAATTATTTTTGGTCTATTAGGTAAATACCAAATTATTTATCATTGAATGGTAATCACGAAATTTTTTTAATTTCGTGCAGTATATATAAAAATTTCCCTAAAAAATTTAGGCGAATTTACATAGTTACCTTAGTGTTTTCTAAATAATTGTAAAAGTACTAATCAAAAAATTCATTTGCAAAGATGCCTACTTGACCATAAATATCTATAATTATAAAAAGAGTCATCTCATTTACTAGAATTAGTAGGAAGAAAAGTCAAAAGTAATAAATGTATTCTATTTCCATTAATTAATTTTTATTTAATTGTTTTTTTCTATAAAACCGGTACCAAAAAAAATATACGTAAAACGAAAAAAAAAGAGGCAGATTTGATCAGAAGATAAAATCTTGATTTTACTAAAAATAAGTCAGATCAAGTCTAAATTGAAGGGTTTGGTTGTCTATATAGATATTGATTTACGTATATCAATTCATCTAATATTTATAGTTTGTGTAGATTTAAAATTCCTTCTTATCTTTGGACAAAAAATTTTATCTAATTGTATGGAAAATCTGATCTGATTTGTTCCTCTACATATAATGTCCGTATATCAAGATTTTTTTTCTTAAAAATCTAAACAGGTATTGAATATTACTAGAATGTAGCGATATGCATTGTAATTAAAATTGTGCCAATAATATTTATAAATTAAAAATATAGAAGACGTCTTTCTTTTTTGTTTATTTTTGTTTATTAAAATGAAAAAAAATAGAAAACAAATTTCAATTAAAACTGATAACTAATATTGCAAGACCACAAACCTGATTTAACTGATTATATTTGTAGCGACCCTGTTAAAGCTTAAACTTGCTCTCCCTTTTGCGGTGTTGTCTAAAACATCCAAATTAAAATAAAAAATAGCGTAGATATGACTGTATATGAATTTTCTTGCAGCGTTGACACGTGTTGGACACGTAAGGCACAAGTGGCTATTTCTGAGCCACCAAGTTTTACACATTCTTTCTGTGGTTTTTTTTTTTTTCATTCTTTCTCTGTTTTTCTTTTCATAATTGTTTTTCTTTTTTTCTTTTTTAATTAATCATCACTTGTTAACGTTGTTCACATGTGTGAGTCTATGAGACTCATATCCCCATTTTTTATACGGTTCGCCCAAGTCACGTGTGATATTTTATGAAAAGGAAATAAATAACTAATTTGAATAAACTACATTAACTGGATCAGATTGTGTGAAATTTTATATGCATTCTAATTTCTATTTTCTGCATTTTCAACAAAATGCAGCAAAAATACAAAGATTCAATTAAAAAAAAGAAGAAGAAATAAGAAAAAGGAAACAGAGCAAGTTTTTTTATTAAAAAAAAAAATATATTTCACTATAGATAATCTTCGACGGAAATATCCAAATGCTCCCGATCGTTTCCTCCGTGCCAATCGCCGGCGGACGGCTGCTCGCCGCCGCCCCTCGACCCCGACAGCCGCGCGTCGATCGCCAGGCCGGCGTCCGACGCCGCCCTCTGCACCGACCGAGGCGAGATCCCGACAGCCGCGCCGGCCGGTAGGGCCAGCGGGAAGTTGAGATTACCCGTGGGCGACGGCGGCGGCCTCCGGCGTGGCGTAGGAACCGAGACAGAGGCGCTCCGGCGTCCCCGGGACCCTAATCTCCGACACCCACTTCCCCCACTTCCGGCGGCGGACGCCCTTGAACTTCTTCTGCTCGTCTGAGTAGGAGTAGCTCATGTTTGTGCTTTTCCTTTTTTCTTTGTTTTTGTTATTATTACTATTTTTGTGTGCGATTAAAGGTGTGAATTGAGGAGAAAGATTGAATTTGAGCAAATGATTATATAGGTTGAAGAATTTGAAAGTCAAAACAAGGGCGGAGTCAGGATTTCACTTCAAATCTACCCGGCTAGAGTTATTTTGCAAAAAGAAAAAAAAAATATAAAATAAATGATTAAAAAATGTATCTTTTTATCCTCATCTACACATTCTTTATCCAGCATAAAATTCACGAAGGTCAAATAAAAATAATAATTAAACCAATTATTTCACTTTAATGATTGAAAAAAATACTGCTATAATATTTTGTAATTTTTTGTGATCATAATTCATCACTTATTAGCTATTTAATGGAAAATAATTACTTTAAGAAAATATTAAATTGTAATTCATGCTTTTACCTCCATTTTCATGAGAAAACATCTCTTCTCCAACCCCACAAATTATAAAAACTATTGATCATAATTAAATTATAAAAACTGAATTAATTTATAGATTATAATTAATTTACTTAACATGATAATTTACTAAATATGAAATCTACTAAAGATAATAATTTATTGAACATGATAAAATATCGAAAAAAGGGGAAAAATGCATCTCAATATTTAAGAAAAAAAAGACGGTGAAGTCTGCTGAGTGCTGATGCGTGAGAGCCTAATAATTAATTAAATGTAATTAGTGGGGTAACCTTAATGTAATATACTGTTGGGTTGGACTTAATATTTTGAGTTTGTGTGGGCTGAATCAATTGAGTGGGCTAATTAATTAAATGGAGTGGGCTAAAATACAAAAAGATAAAAAGAGGAATTTACACCCTATACTCTCAAATACATTTTATATTACATATTTATACCCAATTAATATTTATTTACAAATATACAAAATCACCCAAACATATTTACACATATACTAGATTTTTTAAATTTATTCATTACGATTTAAATATGGAAATTGAATCAGATATAGATTAATTGAGGTAATTAATCTCTAATATCAAGGAGTCCTCTCTTCTCTCTCATTATTCTCCGATCCGCAATTCACAATCTACGTGATTTTTCTCTCCAATCGCCTCATCAACACGGGCGGCGCAAACGACCACCGCCAATGATGACCCCGTCATCACCTCCATCGTCGATAGGACGGCGATAAACCCTAGCCACTAATTCGCTCTTTTCGGAAGCTCTTTCGCGCAGGAGGCTCCCGCGCCTGCTCCGGCGTCTCCAGCCGGCATCGCGTCGCCTTCACTCGTCGTCGTCTGCGCCGCCGCCACCGCGGCATTCGTCTTCGGGTCCGCCGTCGAGATCTGAAGGTTTTAAGCGCGTGTGTGTATAGGACGGTGGTGTTTTATGGTTTTTTCCACTTGATTTGTTTGTTTGTGTTGTTGTGCAGATCTCTGTTGATCTGGTGTTTGTTTGCTGGTGGAGTTTGATTTTTAGAAGATTTGTTATTTGGTGATACGCTTTTTTTTTTCGTTTATGTACCTATAAATTTGATATATTTGAGTCCCATTTTAGTGTTTTTTATCAAGTCTCGCGAGAGTGTTATAACTCATCTTTCTGTAGGCCTTTCGTTTTCTTTATTTCCGCAGCCATAGTATATGTGCAGTATATGTAATTATGTATAGTATATGTGCAGTATATGTATAGATCATTTAGTACGTTAAAATTACATCTTTTTGTATTTCTGTAGGCCTTTCGTTTTCTTTATTTCCGCAGCCATAGTATATGTGCAGTATATGTATAGTATATGTGCAGTATGTGTATAAGACATTTTTTTTTCATTGCAACATATACTGAATATATACCAACATAAACCCAACATATACCTACCTGGACAGCTACGCGAATTACCATACATGATTTTATGTACAAATCAGCTTTTTTTTTTTGTTTCCTAGTCAAGTTGCGGAAATCACACCCGGGTGAAGGGATTGAGGTTGGAATGAACATGATGATTTATAAATATTTACAATTTTTTGCTATAGTATTTTTGAACGAAGATATTTTTTTTCATTGCAACATATACTGAATATATACCAACATAAACCCAACATATACTCACCTGAACAGTTGCGCGAATTACAATTGCGCGAATTACAATTACGCGAATTAAGGAATTAAAGAAGTTAATCTCTCTCTTAATCAAGTCCATAAAAAGGAAAATTAAATGAGTCAATCTCTCTCTTAATCATGCCCATAAAAAGGGGGATGATGGTTGAATGAATATGGTAACTGACTTTAGGCATTAGTGTAGTTATATATTATCTATTAGGTAAAGATGTAATTATTTGTTTATGAATTGTATTTTTACAATTTTTTTAGAATCTTGTAGGATAGATGTAAATTTCCCAAGATAAAAATATGCATATAAAATATATGGAATATGGATAATGTTACTCGGGCTACAGGCCAGTTACATCAAGCTGTAACTCCGGTCAAGGCGCGTCTACAGTGCCGTCACGGCACGAACCCGTTCTTTCAAGTTTGGCCCTAGATGGTAAAGAAATATTTGTTGCCGTTAGATTTTATGGGGAACATTTTATAAGAATGTGGTTTCAAGCAGACAATGATAACAATTTTTAAGTTATAATTTTATTTTTGGCTAAATATTTTTCTCTTTCTTTGTCTTTTTGTGAACATTTAATTTCAGGTTTTATTTTCTATGTGTCATATTAGTCATTTTTCAAATATTTAATGATATGTTTACTGTTATTATAAAGTAATAAAAAATAAAAATAAATATAAAATAATAAAAATTATAAATAAATATAAAGACATATATAAATAAAAAAATTGTGAAAAATATTATAACCAACAATAATTGAAAATGACTATAATATATATTATTTTAAAGCTAAGATTTTCAATAAATTCTAATTACCTCCATATTATTTCATTTTATTTTTTATAATTTATAATTATGCATATTATAAGCATTTTAAATTTCTTTCTAATCTATTAGTTTATATGATAGTTCCACACCGTGTGATTTATCTAATTAATAACAAATATAATAAATATTTTTTTTATTTTTTCTAAACTAATAATTTACATATAGATTACTTGCTAGTTTATCATTATAATTTATAACAATATACATTACAAAAATTTTATGTATTTTATAAGTTAATAATTTAAATGGATAGTTCGACAGATGATACGTTGGCTTATCATAATAATTTGCAACAATATATCTCTTTCTAAACTAATAATGTATATTGGTTTCGATTTTTATTCTGTAATTATATTGGCAATCTTATAATTCATATTCAAATATTATTTTCTATATCCCAAACCTAATTAATAGTTGTTTTTTGAAGACATGGGCTATGTTTGGTAGACAGATAAGCTAGCTTATAACTTATTTGGTTAGCTTACAAGCTCCCTGTTTTCAAAATAGGCTTCGTTTGGTAGGACGAGCTTTTTCAAAAAGCTCGTGCTTATTTGAAAAAAAAGCTTTTTTGGGTAGCTTTTCAAATAAGCTCGTAGAAATTTTTATTTCAGCTAGCTTATCAGCTAATTCTACCAAACATTTTTATCATATATGCTAGTTTTTCAGCTATAAGTCATAAGTTATAAGTTATAAGCTCAAAAAGTACTGATAAGCTATAAGCTAGCTTATCAGCTTGTTTTATCAAACATAGCCATGGTGTAGAAAATCACGGTATATGGCTGGTTACCAAAAGAATAAAAAATTGCACTAATTCATGATTATTATAAAGAATCGAATTTTATTGTTATAATTATCACAAAATTATGTTCAACTTCGATACCACTTCATTTTTATAAGAACCCATGTTATTAATCGAACTGCATAATTTGCAACAGGTAGTTAAAATTTGATTTTTGTTTATAGAAGTAAATAAATGTAATTTTTACTATAATTCCTTTAATAATAATATCAATTTGTTGTTAACAATATAGACTAAAAACACGTATCTACAAATTCTTTTATATGGTATGAGTTATGAAAAAAATTTTAAGAAATATTTAAAATTTTAAATAAAAATTTCTATTTCTATTTTGTTTTTACTTTTTAGCATAAAAAATTTAAATATCATCCTATTTAAAATAATTTTTATATTACTAATTTTTATATTACATCTCACATCCTATTTTTATACATTTATGAGATCATATTAAAACTAATTTGGCTAATCCCCTCTTATATATAATTTGAGAATGCGCTGAGCCTACGTGGCAAACTCTCGTGCTTCGTAATCCTATTTGGCAAAAAATCATGCTTTGGAGTTAGACATGGATATAAATTAATATTTATATTAATTGAATTTTAACATCGTTTTCTATATAGTACAATGACGCAAAACATGACGAAAAAAATCGTCATGTAAGCCTTGTTTTTCGTCACAAAAGTACAATGATGACAAAATTTTATCGTCACAGCGATCGTCACCGTAGCCGCGTCATATTAGGTATAGGTGACAAATTTTGAATTTGTCACCAAATGTTTCACTTTTAATGACGTTTTTAAGTTTCGTCATGTTATTTGGTCACTTTTCGTGACAATAATTTCGTCACGTTTAATATGAAAAATTTATCATATAAACGATTATTTTGTCATAAAAATACAAGTTTTAAATGACGAAAACTTACATTCGTCATCTAAATATTATTGTTTAGTGACGAATTTTATTTTGTTATCGAATTTATAAAATTTCAATGACGAATATATTTGTGGCGTTTTCGTTAAATAATCGTCATTTTTCATAGAATTCGTCATCAAAAAGTTGTTCTATAATTACAAAATATTAGTCGTCATAAAAAGAAATTTTAAATATGACGATAACAAAAGTGTCACAAAAAAATAGTAGTGACGAAATATTATTCGTCTCCAAAAACATATAAAAGCGACGAAATCTTTTGTCATGAAATATTAGTTTTATGATTACGAAAAAAATGATTGTCATCAAAAGCTTGGTATATAATGACAACATAAGTTGTCATGAAAAGGTAAATATTTAGTGACAAAAGTTATTGTCATTTTAACATTTTATATGGTGGCAAATCTAAACAAATACATCACGACTAAATGTTGTCAACAAAAGATTATATTCAATGACAATTTAAAATGTCACTATTACAAATAAAATAATTGTCATTAATTGTAGATATATAGTGATTTATTTATTTGTCATGAAATATATGATACAGTGACAAAATCTATCGTCACTCTAAACAATTACGTCATTAAAAAGAAATTACAGTGACAAAATCTTTATAATTAATATATGATGGTAATATGTTCTAGATGATAAATAAAAAAAACGACAATAATAGTAATTTTACTAATTAAAAACATAAATAAATGAACTAACAATTTCAAAATGTGTCAAATAAAATAATAATAATAATAATAATAATAATAATAATAACAATAAAGCCTAACAATCTCAAATTTGGATCCCAGTGGCAGCCATGAAAGCCATAAGTTTGTCGACTTTTGCACCTTGTTGACTTAGTTGATCTTTCAAATCACTAACTTGGTCCTTAAGCTCAAGCACTTCAGATTCTTTTCCACGCAGCTCTAGAAGTTCCTTCTGGCCGTTTGAGTCATATGCTTTGCGTCTACTTGGCGGCCTCAGGCCATACCCATAACCTTTTATATATCTAGTTCCATGGCCAGGAACCTCAAGAAGTATATCTTGTGCACTCTTCTCAATGCCTTGTTCAGAATATTTTTCTCTCCTTGATACCATCAAGTCCTGACAAATTGCAATAAAAACTATATAATCATACTGATATTCATTTCAACAATTAGAATAAGAGATTGTGCATGCAACTTACCCAGTTTTCTTCTGCCTCTTTTGTTGACCAACCACCTTTTTCCTTATAATGCGTACGCTTATAAAGTTCAATCATATCTAGTGGTCCTCCATTCATCTCCTTCTCAGACTACAAGATTTTTTTTAACAATAAACATAACTAGTTTAAATTAAAAAAAACTAATGATCATAAATAAATTAATATCTTAAACATAAACTTACTATTTCATGTTGAAGAACAGTAAAAAGTGTTCGGCCCGAAACATGTGGAGCGCACAGCATTTGTCGATTCATCCCATTAATCAAACTTTGGTGCTGCCAAAACATAAATACTATTATTGAACACTAGAAAACTAAAAATATGAAAACTACAAATTTAATATTCAAATAGAAGAATAATGTTATAACGCATTACCTTGAATTTAGGCGATGCAAAAAGCTCACACATTTCTTCCCAGTTTTCTTGACTAACACAAAAAGACGGCTTGTTATTCTTAGCTTCTTCATGAGAGGAATATTTCTTATAATGTTGGTGTAGTCTGTAACGTTTTTGCCGTGAACTAGCTTGGACTCTATCAATCACGCAACGTTTCACACCCGGATCATCCAAGTTAATATCCATGTGGATCTACACAAATAAAAATGAGATCATTTAAGGTGATATAAAAATGTATTCATGCAACTTGAAAAGTGTTTCTATTTTTTACCTTTATACGATCAATGACAGGTTGAAGATCTTTTTCTTCATCAACATCTTTCCACCTTACTGGCACCGAAAGGACATCTCGAGTGACTACACCAATTTGACTAGAAAATTTTGAAGACTCGTCTCTCCTTTTAGGTCTTCCTATTGATGGATCCACAATTATCTTCATTTTTTTACCACAAGTCTGAAATGCCTTCATAATACCTTTGTCCATTGTTTGTCCACGCCTTTTCTTACTGGTGGTATTGGAAGCTGCATGTTCACCACTAGGTTATTTTAATTAGTCAAAAGCTTCATACTCATAAGACTGTATTCTATCATGAAAGGCAAAGGCACATGTATTTTGACTAAAATGAGCAGAGCATGCATGTTTTTTATATTATACAAGTCACTGGAGTTTCAAACTAGATTCAAACTAGACAAGCTACTCATAGTAGTTTACATCAGTTCATGTCCTTTTTTGTTTCAAAATAATTAATTTTTATGTTTATATCAGACACTTTGACTCAAGTTTTCACTAGTTTTCATACAAGCTGAAACTCATATTAAGTCTTGATAGATAGTAAAGAAAAAAAAACATAAATAAGAAGTATAGAAAAAGATTGTTAGTGCAGAGCATAGTGAAGTGTATAATGATAAGAATCAATACATTATAACATAATAATATATAAATGGTGTGTTCCTATCGCTTGACTTAACATTATATTCGAATTAAACAATCACCACATTCACACATAATTTTATAAAAGTTAACCTTGGTCATATGAATTGCTTAAACTTATAAAAAATAACTGTCTTATGAACTGTTCAACACATTATCTAGTTCAACCATAGGGAGTGTTCACAAAAGCTAGTGCTTTTCAAGGAAGTTATTTATCCTAGTTACATGCTGTTAAGAATAAGAAATTGGTAATGTGTGCAGATAGAAACTGGAAGTTGATTTCATCAGGATGAATAAGCTGCTAAAGGGTTTATTAGATTGTAAGTGAAACCAAAAGTAAAATACAAAACTAAAGCACATTCATGCTAATTTAAGAGATTCTGATTAAATTATACTATACACTCAACTGGAAGCTAGATTCTGATCAAATTATAATATACACTCAACTGGAAGCTAAGCTAACAATCAATTTTTTAAGTGACTTCAAAATACTCCCTATTTTTCCCAAACAGTATCACTTGTTAAGTGCTCCCTTTTTCCCTTTTAACTCCAACCTCTACTTCTCTGTATATGTACATACTAATGCTTAAGATTCAAGATTTCATCAGATCAAGGAAATTAATCATAATGAAAGGAGTTTATGTATTTCACATGCAGGTTATGAAGAATGATCTCGAGCCTAAGCCTGAGCAGTCTTGAGAAGTTGCATTATGACACACATAGCATACTATACTGAGACAAATTTCTAGATTTGCATTATGACGCACAGTACATGAAAAAACACATTTCATGAAACAACACGACAACACACAATTAATGAAACAACACAAAAACACAATAAAAATTTTAGAGTATTAGCTATGTACCAATGATATCTTCCTGTGATTGAGAATGAGGATTTCCCTGATGTGATGGAGGATCAAGAGTGCTTTCATTTTGCTGAGTACCTTCAAGAGTCATCTCCTTCTGTTAAGTTTGAGGAGATTAGATACTTGGAATAAAAGTACTCTCCTTTTGCTGAGTTTGAGGAGACTGATCATTTGGCAGGTTGCCCTCAAATGTGGGATTTGCAGTTTCGGTTCCTATAGACGAACCATCGGTTAATGGCAATCTTTTGTTCACTTTGTCTGATCCCATATTAGTCTTCTCGGATTGCCGTTTATTACCCCTTGCTAAACTTCCTGTCTTCGTCATGTGATCTATGAGACTCTGCCGAGAATTCGGTATAATTTTTGTTCTTGAATTCCGAATTAATCCAGGAGCCATTTGAAACCTTTTGTATCAGGCAAAAAAAAAGAAAAATCCATCAGAATGAAAAGTAATGCATAACTAATTGATTGATGTAAAATAGAAACAAATTGATGTAAGGCATAACATAAAGAACCAAGATACTACGAGAGAGTCTTCTTCCAGAACAACCGATTGCTGTATAATAGAAGGCGGGTTATCTTTGAGACTTTGATAATTGTTAGCCTAAACTTTTACTTATATGAGTGAAAGGGGGGAGAGATATTTGCTGAAGATACGGTCAAAATAATTTCAGTGTTTATCTACCTTAAATATATAAGATTACCAAAATTAAACTAACTAGTGAGCGCCAAAGCAAATTTTTTGTCCGCCAATGTTTTAGTCATCCAAAGTTCACCATAATACCCTTTTCAGATCTTAACACCTAAAAAACCAAAAAACAGGCCGATTGATATGCTAAGAAAATGAAAGCCCCGAACCTGTGGTGCCCGATGACCATGGGGGTGACAATGTCTCTGGCGAGCCTCTGCACCACCGTGACCTACGACCAGACCTCCATCGAGAAGTGGTTGTCCCTCGGCCACAACACCTGCTCCGTCACCAATGCAGACCCGGCCGTCCTCCCGCACCACCCCCAACTTCGCCGTCTCAGTCCTCGTCCTCGCCGTCGATATCGAGCAGCAAGTGGCTGACGTCATCAAGGCGGAGGTTTCAATTCGGATTACCTCGTGAAATTTGCTCTTCAATTGGTGAATCCAAACCAATTTGCAGCCTTTGGATAAAAAACGAGTCGAGATTGTTCGGCCTTAGCGGATAGAATCTGAATTGTAGGTTTTGTGGTTTTTGTTTGAGGAAGGAAAGGAAGATGAACGGGATGAGATATGTGAAAAACGAGCGAGAACGATATTGTTCGATTTAGGGATCTGAATAATGCAGCTTGTTTTTATATGGTCGCACATATTAGGAATAAGAAATTATCTCACCTTTTTTCCTTCTTTCCTAGTTCTAATAAAGGCAGTAACACTATAACGTGGTCAATAATTTGAATTTGTACTAATAAATTGCCTCTCATATGAAACACAAATTCAAATTTCTATCTTACTTTTATATACCTTTGTAATCATTATCTAGTATCTACAGACTACAATCAGAATAGTCAAATATGAGTATTTAAATGGAGCAAGTTGATTCAATGATAATAATTGTAGAAATGAGTACATAAGACAAGTTAGAATAGGTTTTGTGTTTTTTGTTTTGGCGAAAAAAGAAAGAAAAGATATTGTGAACCGGGTGATTTTTGGGTATAAATGATGTAATATTTTTTTTTTTTTTTGGTTCTTAATGGCACACTAGTAATTTAAGTTTATAAGTAAGGTTAATAAGGTATGTGAAATAATATTTTATTAGTATAATACTCTTGTATTACACGGGTGTTGAATTAGAAAGCTTTAGTAAAAAATATTAAATTTTTTATTTTCTTAAAGACTAAAATAATTTAATTTTATATAAAACATTACTTTGAATTTTAATTAAATTTTTAAATTATATTTTTTAATCATAATAATTAAACACCCGTATATTAAATGAAATGTCAACTCGTGTTGAATTTTTTTACTTATATCATATAAAAATATCGATGTTATTTACTATTACATAAGTACAAAAATATATATCTTAAATAAATAAAAATAATATGGTGATATATATATACATAAGTGTAGAATATGTTTATTTAATATTAAGCAAAATAGATTAATTTTTGTACTTAAATAAATGCCTAATACATCAAATGTCGTCTATATATTTTAGAATGACACTTGTTACTTGTGCGACTTACCTATGTTAAATTATTAATATTAATAAATAATTTTATTATTATTATACAGATAAATATATTTTATTTATTTTATACATAAATATAAAATGACTTAACAAAAAATATTTCAATATTTAACCGAGAAATGTAGGCGGGAAAAAGTTAGTCAATTTTTGCAAAATGGATTGATCCATTATATAGATATAAATGTGTATAGATATACATGTTAAATTTTTAAAAAATTTAAAAATCCACAATATTTTTTACCGTTGATGTTGAGAATTGATATTTTAATAATTATTAATAATATAAAAAATATGTATATATACATATTTGCCCGAAATACCCGAAACTTTAAAACTAAAAGAAAATAATCGAACTGAAATCTAAATATTCGAACCAAACATTCTAGTTCGGCCGTTTTTTGTCACTTATATGTAGTTTAAAAGTCATTAATATGCAATTTGTGTAAAACTATTGTGTAGGGTTTCTGTTGCTATTGTGCAGTATGAACGCGAACTTGTCGAACTAAGAAACGAACAAACACGAACGGAAATTAATGGTTGAATATTTAGTGAACATGTTAAAAAATATAGTCAAACTCGAGCTCGAAAACCTTAGTCTCGGCTCTGGTAACGCAAAACACTCCAACCGGCTCGGAATCGGTTTGCCTCCTTCTTCCTCGCCGATAGAACGCCGCGCTCCTGCACAAAAACTCTCACACCGGAGGGGTTTTCCGGTGAAGAGCCTCCGATGCTTAAGTCAGTATGTGTTTGTTCAATTTTCCAAAGTGAGTAATGGATAAATCGTAAACCCTAAAAAAGACCCACTCCCCTATATATAGGAGTGAGATACCTGCCCTAAGAGCTGCCCGGCTATTTGGTGAGTTGTCCTGCCCGCGCTGCCCGTCCGTACATACACAGTACGCGTATTGTCAGAAAAGTCAGGGACGTCAGAGGTGGTTACTGCCACTTTTACTCTGCACCACTGGGTTCTCGCCACGTGTCCCCTTTTACGCTGAGGGGAAATATTCCTTTGCATAGGCCGTTGGGATCCCTTGATATCACCCACTCGCCTACTCGCGTTCAGGTCACGCTCTCGACTGTCTCCTTCCCGCTACGAGCTCAACATGGTCGAGCTCCCCTTCGCTAGGTCGATCCTCGACCAGCCCTGCCATTCTGCTCGATCTTTTCTGCTTTGGTCGATCATCCTTTAGCCCACGCGGTTTTCTTCCTACTTATGCCGGTTTGACCGTCGTGATAAGCCGGTCTGTTCTTTAGTCATATGATATCCTATATCAGGCTCGATTCGATTCGATAACGCCCCTAACTCTTTTTTCACATTCTAAAAAATCTCCAAGTGTTAATTAAAATTCCCTAATTCTTTTTTCGATAACGTCCCTAACTCTTTATGAGTATCTCTCGATTAGTTTCCAATTGAGGCTTGTCTTGATCGGCGAATTATTAGTAACCCGTTGGTTGTCGATTTGTGTAAAACTGAGTTTAGTTAATGAATTTATTGTTTGGAAATAAAAAGTTAATTAAAAATCCTTTAACTCAATTGAAATTCTAACTTTCAATTAAAAATCCGGTAAGAGGGCTGCTGTGGCTTAGGGGGTGATTGTTTATGGATTCAACTAGTTTTTATTTGGTTTGTTTTTAACTATAGTTAATTTTGGAAAAAAAAGTGGTATAGTTAGTTGTTAGTGGATATATTAAAATAATATTTAAATAAAATAATTTAAGTTGATTTGACGTAAAGTAGGAGAAAAATGATTGGAAGTGATGGTTAGTTAAAATTATGTGAGTGGATGAATAGTAAATTAAAGTTGATTTGATGTGTAAGAATGATTGGTTGATATTATTTAATTATATTGGTAATATTGAAGATAGTGAGATTGAGTTAAAGTTGAGTTAAATTTGAGTTTTGATTGGATTTTTTACTGTTCAATTTATACTCAATTTAATAACACCAGCCCCTACAGTTAAATTTCAGCCATTGATTACATATAAATTAAAACAAAATCTAATGGCTGACAATAAATAAAGAATAGATTAATAAAATTTAAGAAGTTTAACCAATTTAAGAGAGGAGAGTGTTTGAGAAAAGTGAAAGGTACAGCTTTTTGCTCGAATTCTGTCTATACAAAATCACAAAAGCAAGAAATCTTTTACAAGGGTTGAAATTTATTAATTTCAGAATTACAAAAACAAAAAGCCCCCGTACCCATAAATGAACANGCTTTTTGAGGCGATTTTTTTTTTTTTAAACTGTTTTTGGCTTTGTCTGACTACAAAAGCAAAAAATTTACAAGTGCTGTCCGTAACTCAAAATCAAAAATCTATCCTCTTCAAAATCTCTGTATGAAAATCCAAAGATTCAATTGAAAATCCTAACACAGAATTCCTTCGCACTCACACAGAATTCGCACTCAGACTTCACACAGGATTTGCACTCAATTCGCACTCTCAATCTTACAATTTTTCGGCATCGGGTCGAAGTGCGATCTTATTTTTCACGGAGACCTAGCGGGTAGCGACATAGCCTCTTACAGATTCGTCTCCGTATCTCTCTCCTTGAAGCAAAGGTACTCTCTTTTATTGATGAATATTCATGGATTCATAGTCCGAAAATATCAATATTGAGTAAGTAAATAGAAGGTAACAAATGATTGTTTCTGTACTCGTATTCTTTTCAAGTTTGCAGTGCTTGTTTAATTTCTTGCCTTCCCTTTAAATTTCAATCAAGTTTGCCTTTCTTCTTCTTCTTTTCTTTCTTTCTTTATTTTTTTTTTCTTCTTTCAACTTTGTTGGATGGGTAATTCCAAAGGAATACTGCTTCTTGTTTGGGTTTAAAACAGAGAAAGAAAGGCACCAGATAAACCATGCCAATGAGAAAAATAATCTAGTACTTGGTTAATCTTGTACTTGGTCAAATAAATACACGAAAAGCTTATAACAAATAGCGTTGATTGCACGCGAAATGAGCCGCGCACCGAAAATTCTACAACTTATCCTCTTCGAATCTGACCCATTATAAGTAACCCCTTTCCCTATCTCAATCCATTCCTCCGATTCTCGTGATTGGATGCGTATTCTGCTGTTCTGACATCTCTTTCGTCGTTGACCTCGCTTGTGGCCTGAATCAGGTAATAGGTGTTTCTTTTCGGGTTCAATTTTGATGTGAGTTTGTGCTTTTTATC